GTATTATCTGATTAATACTTAAGGCTTCTTATAGTATTTTTTCAGCCCCACACATTAAATCTAACTCCAGTCACAAATTACTTAGCATGCTGTATCAAAATTGTGTCATTGTATTTGCACATTAAAAATTGTTAATTAATGCAATATGTATTCATAACAGCATTGCTTTAAATGAAGGTTGTGTCTTTTGTTATCATATCACATACAGCGAGGGCACATTGCCAAAGACAAGATGAATCATTGATCTTGAAGGGAATTACCATGACAGATAGCAGCAGGGTTACTGAAGGGCATGACTAAAAGAAAAGGAAAGAGAATCCTTTTTGAGCACTTTCTTTTTCTGTTCATGGTTCTTGGTACTAGTGCGGAAGTTTTTGCACCTGTGTTAAATTGGGAAGTGCGTAACCTCACAGGCTAAGCAAGATGAGTGCCTTGCTCAAGAAGAAAACATCAAACTAAATCCTTTTCCTAGAAGCAGCTTCAGCGGGTTGCACTGGTGTAATGACACTCATAGAGCAGGCCATGGAATGATAATCACTGCTTATGAAATGAGCTGTTGGCAATGCTTGGCATCATCTTATAACCTGCGTAACCTACACAGAACTGTCAATCTGTTAGAATTAGAAACAGAATAAGAAGATATTCCTGATGTGTCAAGTTTTCTTTTATTGAAAGACCATATGACTTTAACGTATATGCTCAGATGGTATGTTATTTATTAATTAATGTGTATATTGTGTTGACGACTTTGGGTTAGTTCACACAGAATACAAGGACAAATGTTGATGAATGCACTTTTACATAGAATAAAAGTAAATGGGGACTTGGGCTGTGAGATCCAAAATGACAAAGAAACTCCACAGATGTATGTTAAATATGGTCAATATGACTTTGGCACTATTTTCTCACACAAAGATAACAGGTACCTTCAGAACTCCTGGAATATACTGCAAAATATTCATTTTTAGCCACCTTTGTCACTTTCATTCATTATATGGAAAAGAGCAGCAGGGACTAAATAGTTTCAAAGTCATACTGTTCTGGAATTAGTTTGAGAGTGAGTATGCTATTAACTATTGGTGTTTTTGCTCATTAAACCCTAAATATACATAAACCCACAAGTTTAGTGCTGCATCCTTTTCACAATTCTTACAGATACATTGAAGGAGCAATACTTCAGTTTCATAGATATGCCTAGCAAACCATTAACAGCTTATTGCATAAGAGTAAACTAATGATCTGAGCTCTTTCAATTGTACACTTTAAACCTTTATCTTATCTTCATACCACACATCAGAGCCTCAGGACCCTCAGTCGAGTCAAAAGCACCCAATCCATTCAGTCAATATTATAAAATAAAGGGAAAAAAGGATTTAAAAAAATATATGTAAATGAATGCATCTTGGCACATTAAATGAAACTACTATTGATTTGACATTAGTTGCTATGTTTGAATTAATTGACAAGTATAGTTCCAGAAGTTGGCAATCCTTTATCAGAGGCAAGCATGAATTCTACACTGCAAATTGTTTTGGAAATTGAAATATTGTTATAAATGCTATTCTCAGCATTCTAATCAGATTTGTATTTGAACAAAGTCAAAAGCTTATTACTTGTGAACCCGTGGCAGGGTTATTGCCATGTAGAAGATTAGCAATGTATCTAGGCCAACAGGTGGAACAGCCAGGGCTGGCTTGTCCTACAGGTGATATGTGTAGTTGCCTGGGGCCCCAAAGTGCCTGGGGGCCCTTTAAGGAGATGTAAATGTAACTGTTTTAGTATGGTTACTGCCAAGTAAATATTCTTTGTTCTCCATTAGAAAATGCGATTGGCACCACACAGCATATTGCATATACAAGCAGATGTGCATGGACCTCATTCTTTAACAAATAGACCACAGTTCCACCAAAAAATAAGTGAAAAGATAAGCTTTCAGTCATCAAATAACAAGTAGCTTAAATCATAATAATTACAGCAACAGCATAAACAGATGCAAGCATCGCTGATATATTATTTACAAATTTCATCAAAAGTGCTCAAGTTGTTGAAAATATACAAAACGGGTCACAGAAATGATTGCTTTGCAGATTTGAGATGCTTTCTGTGTTTCAAGCATGTTTGGATGGCAGAAACAGCCCTTCTGTTGTCAAAGGCTTGTCATGTTTTCTCAAGAATGTTCTGGGCAACAAATTCAAAAACTGTCAATATAAAAATGTGAAAAATCTGCAAAAATGCGGCCAATTAATCTATCAAACTAATCTATGTACTAAAGTTCTGGTATGGAATGAGATGTGTACATAGTCATTACTGACCAGTTTAGTTTATTATATACTCATCTTTCAATTCTCCAAACCCAAAATATTGTTAGTGCCCCACAAACCCTTGGGCCGGCCACTGTGAACAGCAATAGAATACAGTGTTTTCTCCCATGATGACCAGGACCGTAAAGAGTAACAAAAATCTAAATTATTCAATGCTTAGTTCCAATCCTGGATGCTGATTGGTCAGTAAAGCATTTCAGCTGAGCTAAAATGCATTGTATAGTAACATCTAAAACAACTATGATATCTGATCAATCGCAACTGTGTATATTTAAAGCACATCACACATTAGTATCCGTGCATGTTGTATAGCACTTCAGGCTGTGCTGTGTTGTGAATTAAGTCACAGCTGTGCTCTACTAATGAATTCTTGTTTTTGACACTCTCTCTCCTGTCATTCCCACAGTCCCTTGTGCAAGCCTGTCTGCAAATTGAGCTGCCATAGGAGACGGAATTGGAAATGCTTGTTCAGTTTTTATCACTACACTCCAGTGTCCATATACAATCAGAACAACCAAGAGTTACTGTAGCAGTGCAATTTTGTACTTTGAAAGTTGACAAGAAACATCATTCTCAACTGATTTTACTTCCATAATGTGAAGTATTTCTAAATGAAACAAGATCATCCAAAAGAAAGAGTGTGGATCACTGACACCCATAAGTTGAAGTTTAAAGGGAAAGTTTACCCAAAAATGAAAATTTGCTTTAATATTACGTTTCTTGCACAGACCGATCTTATTTATTCTCAATAAACCAGTAGCAGCTGACTTGCACTTTATGAATCACTAAGTATCACAGTTTCAGCTACTATAGAAAAAAAAGTGACTTAAATCTTCGATGGCCTGAGGGTGAGTAAATTAACAGCGAATTTTCATTTTTGGGTAAACCATCCCTTTAAGAGGCCTTGGTAACATCAGCTGGAAAACAAATTTGTTTCAGAGGTGGAGCTACATTTTGATAAAAGATTTCAAAAGAAATCTTTTGTAATAAATGAAAAAAAGTATTGTAAATAAAATTATGTTGACTTTAAGCTTGCTCGCACTAGATGGTGTATTTCTAAAGTAAACATTTGAGTTGGTGTTAGAAGCTTATATATGCTTTGGATTGATCAGGTCTTTTCAAGCTATAAGTGAAGAGCCTGCCTTCTGAAAGTAGGCTGAGAGCTACCAGGAAATGCAAAGTCTCTAATGAATATTTAACAGTGAGAGATTACGGCTGGACACACTGACATTCAATGCACTCATGCAGATCTGAGCCTCTCAGCCTTACTAACAGATCAGCAGCTTAACATAAGATACAGCAAACCAACCCTGCAAATGAGATGTAGAATGAGCTCCAAATGTCCAGACATCTAGTTGAAATTCTTCCATTTTGTATTTTATTAATTTAGTACAATTATTTAATGACAGCAGCACTCAAGCTGCATAAACTCAACAAGTATAGCTGGATGATCATGTTCAAAGATCCAAAGAACATCTTATGCTTCAGTGGAAGCAAAAACATTTGTACAAAGAAGTTTGCATGGTCAGTGTCACAGAAATAATGCAGTCTTATTTATTTAGTTATTTACATTAGAGCATTTCTTCATAAAACAACAACAACAATTTAAATCCAATGTTGGATTGAAATAAATTTGAATCCAAATGTTGTCTCAGACTTAAAGACCCAGACTTTATTTATGAAAAGTACAGGCTATTGAACAAGTCAAAAAATTAACAATACTCTAGATTTTTTTCTGCATGCCATTCTGAACCTGTGTCACAATCTACATGCCATGGTGGCAAACGCGTGGTATGCATCTATATCTGACGACTCTGTAGCTGTGGCCTGTTTTAACGATGCAAGAACACGGTTTTACACTCGCCCCTTTTCCTGAGAACAGTGCGTTTGACGCTGCTTATGACTGTGGTTTACTGTTTCCGTCTTACTTCTCTTGCTACTGAGTGGCGTGCTAAAGAACTGCATGGTCAACCAAATCCTATAGTACAACAGAAAGTAGGTCACAACTTTTAAAGCCACTTCTCAAGCCTTGCAATATCGACGTTATTCTTTTCTTAAGCAATTCAAAAGGTTACAGTTGCAAAAATCATTGCTGTTTTAATGTGTCACATCTGATACCCGGTTTCAGAAGGTGCACGCTATTGTTAGAGGGGACACAAATGCAGTGTGTGCTATATAAAGTCTCTTTCTCAAAACAGTCCCTCTTTCGGCAGTTCATCAATTTGACTCCTGACTTCCGAGTACTTCAGTTATGCAAGAAGTTATGTGAGACTGTTTCTGCCCTTATGCACATGTGGCATACAGTTGGGTTTTGTCTAACATCAAACATGATGACACAAAGACAAAAGAAATAAGAGAATGCATACATGAGATATTTGAGTCATTGTATTTTTATAGAAATTTGTATTACATTTGTAAAAAAAAACATTTATTTTGATAGTGTCATGGGCAGCAGGAGAAATAAAATAATGCTAAATACTATCTATCTATCTATCTATCTATCTATCTATCTATCTCACTAATTAAATAAAGTAAAAACAAAGTTAAAAAAATTAAAGCGATAGTTCACCCATCATTCAACATTTACTCATCCTTATGTTGTTCCAAACACAAGGATTTCTGTCTCTTGAACACAATAGAAGATATTTAGAAACAACAAAATAACCAAACATTGGTTTAATCAATGTTCCACATTCCAGCAGCGGGTAAAGCTTTGAAATGAACAAGCACCATTTGGAAAAGGCCCCCGAATTCCTCCATTTTGGGAGAGTGCAGTTTCCACCCAATAAAGAAAACTACATTCAGACTGGCAAACGTCTCAGTGGCTGAAATGTTCGTGTTGGGATTTGCTTTCTTGTCTTTCCGACATGGTCGTTTCAAGGCAAAAAGCAGCCCTCGGTAGCAGCCTAACTGGAGGCGTCTCCATTCAAGGGGAGGCCCTTTCTCAACTCCCGTGTTTGTGACGAGTCCCAAGGGTGTGTTCACGAGTCCTCACCGCCTCTGGTGTGTGTAGACTGGGTATGCTAACGTGACATTCAAAGAGTCATTGTGCTGAACCAGGGATGTATGCTGGTAGTGCAAGACCAGTTCTTTCAGAGAGCTGTAAAGGTTGTAGGGCTCAGCGAAGCCATATCCTGTGGGTGTCTTGTTGATGACGCAGTGCTTGACCTCACCATCCAGACTGCAAGAAGACAAAGAGATGGTTTTAGTCATCAGTGCCTTTTGAAGTGAAGTGAAGTGACATGTGGCCAAGTATGGTGACCCATACTAGGAATTAGCGCTCTGCATTTATCCCATCCAAAGTGCACACACACAGCAGTGAACACACACACACCGTGAACACACACCCGGAGCAGTGGGCAATTTCCTATTTCAACATGCACCCTCAAAGTCTGGTCTAGTAGTCAATGAGTTGCACAGAGATGTCGGTAAGGACAACTAACAACTCTCCAAAAATTAACGATGCCCTAAAAGCACAAAAAAAGTGATACGTACACAACACTACACGCATAACATCCAGCTTTGCTGCTGTCCCTGACCAGGAATGTTCCATCTCTCTTGCCCCGCAGAAGGGCCTCTGCCTGGTTGCGGTTAATGTTACCGAGCTTCCAGGAACGTTCGTCATGGTGTGGCAAATCCTCATCATCATCCACCATTGAGTATTGACTAGCACAGAAGTGGAGAGTTTGATTTAGTAACCAGTACAACTTTTAAATATCAAGTGGCTGTAATGTGATAAGCAGAATACTCACTCGTCCTGGTTGTCGTTTTTGATTCCCAACCATTCATTGAGTTTCTTCTGTCGGACCCCTTTCTGTGTCAACCACCTGCGCAGCAACAAAAAATGAATAATTTGTTACATTACATTGTGCTCCATTTCCGAATGCAAGAATTTGGAGTGCAGAACCTATGGAGTATGAGCTACTTACATGAGGTACTGATCCCTGGTCTTTCTGAGCTGGATGAGGTCAGGCTTAATGCTGTTCATCCGCTTGTCAATCTCTCTGTAGTCTGCCGCCTGCTTCTTCAGATCTTCTTCGAGACGCCGTTTGCTGTCCACAATTTCACTGATGCGGGACTTTAACTTCTCATAGTTGACCATAATCCTGTGTTGAAACATTGCATTACACTTCTGAAATGTTCCCCAAATGGCTACTCTGGATGTTCTCAGCTTCAAGACTCACCTTTGGATTTCCTTCTCATTGCCTTCTCTCCTAAACTTCTCAATATATTCTTTGCTGTACCGTTCTTGCGTCTGGCACTGCTCTTCAAAGATCTTTATGGTCTCATTAAAAGCTTCAATGGCAGTCCTTTTCATTTGTATTTCCTAGTGAGCAGACAAAAGCATGTCAGAACGTGAGCTTTCCCCGGAAGAGCTTTTCTCGAGCTCTGTGTGATTGCGTCACTGAAATACATATAGACAATCATCTACTATAAATGCATTTAAGAGCATACCTGTGATGTTCTAGTGTATTCCTCATAGAGTCGGTCGTACTCTCGGTTCTTTTCTTGGTACTGCTGGTGGTATTCGTGCAACTTCTTCCCAACAGCTTCAACGTTGTCCTCCTTTACCACCTGATCCTGTAAACGCATAAAAAACATATATCCAATCAAATGTTTCCGACTGAAACGTGATGATCCAGAGTGAAGTTCTTCAGGACACTCTATATTCCAGTGAAATTAGAGGATGATTACCTGTTGGTGCTTGGACACAGGATACAGTAGTTTCACATCTAGTTTGGGGTTGTACTGGGCGAGAGACTCGTGCCGATAGTGGTTGATCAACTCAACCACAGAGCTGAAGGTCAGGGGGTCGGAAAAGCCGTATTTTCCATCACGATGGAAGATTTTGATCAGCTTGTTGTTACCTCCTTTCCTATATGGCCAAAGAAAAGTAGTATTTAGACCAATCCTTTGGATCAATCCAAAGTCAAGGCAAGCACCCTAAATAAAAGGAAATGCAGACACATATGGGTTTTACAAAGGAGAACGTACCTCAGTGTCAGTGTGTAATCCCCATGCATTTTAGTGGAGGCATCTCGGACCAAAAATGTACCATCTGCAGTGTCCCTAAGCTTTTCGTTGACCTCCTCCCTGCAACAGAAAGGGAGTCAAACTTTTACACGAAGCAACATTAATAAGAATTTTTTTTTTTTTTTTTCAAATGCACGCTTATGAACAAACATTAGGTTTGATGAGTACTTGCCTGGAGATATCCCCCCAGTACCATTCAGCATCTTGCAGAGCCATGTTGTTGTTCATACCGTTGTTAGTGACAGACGTTGGTTTGGGTGGCTTGGGAGGTAGTGCTGTAAAGAGAAAGAGAGAAACTGGTTGAGACCAGAACTGCTGATGAACCAGCACTCAAGGTCATTTACACATGCATGCTCAAACCTACGTGTTGATATGAAACAACAGTATAACTAAAGGATGCTTTAATCTGATGAGGAGAAATGAAAACCCCTAAAACATCCTTTGGTGATTTCCTGTCAAGTTAGCGATGTATGTTTCCTTCCAACTGTGACAGTTCTGTTTTCAAAGCATGCAATGGTTACTGCAGTTTTCTAGAATTCTTGCCTCCTCCCCTTCCAGCGTTTTCCATTTCATTAAATGCAGCTGAGCACATGCCTCTCGAGCACTTAGCGGGGAGTCGGATTCTTTACTCAGTGAGAACGCAATTCATTGACCCTTCCAAAAAACCCTCATCAATTCCTCACCATTTCCTGATCTGGCCAGCATTATACCACATAAGTTGTTCCTGAGATGCACAATCACACATTTAAGTCATGGAGAAAGTCAAGGAGCTTTAATTTGGATTTGATGATATCAGTTATTTGAAGCATCGCTTGACAACAAGTGCTTCAGAACAGAATTAGCATTGTATCTAGAAGCAATGACATCTGACAGCGTGCAGAGACCCACTGATGGGCTTTTCAAAGCATTGCAATATGCACATTAATGCCAGAATCCCTAACCATTGAGAACATGTTGCTTTGCTGGATAGAGGCAGAGGTTGCATCTGATTGGCTGCTGGGCCGAGTGACGAGAAGCAGCGGGGGCAGTGCAGTCTCCGTGGAGCATGAGGCAGAGCTGAAGCGGTGGGCTATTTTTATCTTCCAACCCCCCCACCACGTCATGCACACTCACTGTCTCTCCTTTGTTCGCTTCAGTCACTATCATCACTAAGCATTTTCAAAGTATGAAACATGCACACAAAGATATTAAACCAGATAAACCTACAAGAATCTAACAAACAAATCATCCAATGCTCTGTGATACCTAAAAGCAGATGCATCCTCTATGGAGAGACACTCACAATAATCTACGCAAGATAAATGTATCTGTCACCATAAGAACAAGTCAATAGCAAATGTTAAACCTGTTTTGAAACAAACGCTTCCATCCAATACCACGGACAGACCACTCACCCATCAAATTAAGCCTTAAAAATGACACTTTGAAATGCACCAACTTCAACAGTTACCTGGTGCGTCTATTTCTATGTAAAACAGCAGGTCTGATCCAGCTTCTGATCTAGTGTCAAGTCTCAGGCTGTCTAAATTTGCCATGCTTAATGGTGCGTTGCATATCCGGAAGGACTCGCAAACAGTTTTCTTGGCAAACCTCCTCTGAATGGATATAATAAATCCAGGTTCTTCTTGCTCATCGCTTTCAGATCAATTTTCGAAAAGCCTTGGAGAGTAGGGTCAGTGAAAGCCATTACATCACTTACCCCAGCCAATGGTGCAGCAGGACTGTTGCTGGCCACTCCTGCCTCATCACCTGCCTCTATTTCTTCCTGAATGCAGTGATGTCATTGCAACAGCATTTTGTCCATTCAAAAGTCGACAATGCAAAATGTATCAAAAGTAAGATGTATCTGCTCCGAAGTATGTGATCCGGTCTTTTATCCGTGTGGAACAAACGCGTTGTCTAAGCCGTTTCAATGCTGTCAAACGCAGGGAGGTAAATCACAGACAATGTGCACTGCAGCGCAGCATCTTTCGAATGAGGAAAGGAACTGAAGCCTCACTGTCTTTCTGTCACCCTCTCCCTTCCTGTATCTGTGATGCAGCTTTGCAAAGCCCCGCCTCTGAGCAGAAGTGATCAGTATGGCCCCTCTGCTGGTAGGCAGAGCACTGATCGTTGCTGCAGCGGCACGTAGGCAGTCCCTACGTCAAAGACAAGGCCGGGTCAGGAGGCAGGCACGGCTTGCAAATACTTCTTATAATCCCCAAATGCGACTCACGGAGGACTGTAGGAGGGGAGAGATCAGTTATTTGAGCTTGAGAGGGTACCTGAAATAGCCGCAGTTCTAAGTAGGGTTAAAAACGGCCCCAGGAACGTGGACTATTGTCATGCTCAGCACTCTAAGGACAGGTCAGAAAGGCCCTTCAGCTGGTGTGCGGTGTGCTTAACAGTCCCGCAGGTGGACAAGTGTAACAGAACACTTCAAGGCACGTCAACCGGTAAAAGCAATAT